AACTTTTCGTTTGCCAGTGTAAATGTGTTGAAATTGTGTTCAGCAACACTTTCAACACCAGTTTTGGGGAAAAGTTGAGACTTTTGTCTGCTGGTGCATTCCAGGCAAGTCCATATAGTTCTCCATGACAAACAAAGCAGTGGACTGTAAAAGAGTACTATTACACTGCAGACAAGTGTGCATTTGTGTTTGGAAATGTCTCTCTCTCTCTCTCTCTCTCTCTCTCTCTCTCTCTCTCTCTCTCACACACACACACTCAAACATCAGATATATATCTCCACAGTATATCTCCACTCTTTGTCCTCTGCTATGTACACAAAGCTGTGGCCTGTTCAAACAGGAACTCTTTTCTTTCCCCTCTCCATCTCTTCTTCCTCACTTGCCAAACAGGTCTGAGGTCCCACCATCTTCCCAAAAACTCTGCTGAACAGAGTGGGACTTTACTAGAATATTCCTGCCTCGGGGACCTGAGGCACGGCCTGGGGCAGCCGCTTTAGATGACTTTGAGTTGCAAATGTTTTACAGTGACATGGAGGCCTACATCTTTGTGCTCTCTTATATAGATGCAATACTTCTGCAAAAATCAAACGTACAGAGATTCTACAGGGGCTGTGTTTTTTTTCCTCATTGTTCACTATCAAGGTTCTTTTTCATTTATCAAGGTACAAACAATGTAAATATACCCTCAAAGGTACAACAGTGGATTTAAGGTCTTGTAAGGGATTGTGTACATTAAATACGTTTTCCAGGTGAAAAGTACGTATTTGTACCTTTTTATAACTGAATGTTTTAAAACAGAACAAAAAATAAAAAGCCTGGAGACGAAATGGGGTGTGTGGAGTCAGTACAAATTAGATAATACAACCCCATTTCCAAAAAGGTTGGGTTGCTGTGAAAAATGTAAATAAAAACAAAATGCAATGATGTGCAAATCATTTAAATCCTATATTTCATTGAAAATGCTTCAAAGACAACATATCAGATGTTGAAACTGAGAAAGTTTATTTTGAATTTGATGCCAGCAACACGTTCCAAAAAAGTTGGGACGGGGGAAAGAAAAGGCTGGTAAAGTTGTGTAATGCTAAAAAAACACCTGGTTGATTGGCAACAGGTCAGTAACATGACTGGGTATGAAAGAGCATCTCAGAGAGGCGGAGTCTTTCAGAAGTAAAGATGAGGAGGGGTTCACCACTCTCTGAAAGACTGCATGATCAAATAGTGCAACAATTCAAGAATAATGTTTCAACATAAAATAGCAAAGAACTTTTGCTTTTCATCATCTACGGTACATAATAAAGAATCTGTAGAAATCTCTGTAAGGGACAAGGCCAAAAAAACAGTATTTGCTGGTTTCAGGCGGCACTGCTTTAAAAACAGACATGATTCTGTAGAGGAAATCACTGCATGGGCTCAGTAACACTTCTGAAAAGTGTTGTCTATGAAAACAGTTCGGCGCTGCATCCACAAATGCTAATTAAAACTCTTAAACGCAAAGAAGAAACCAGATATAAACAGGATCCAGAAACGCTGCCACCTTCTCTGGGCCAGAGCTCATTTAAAATGGACTGAGGGGAAGTGGAAAAGTGTCCTGTGGTCTGACGAATCAACATTTGAAATTCTTTTTGGAAATCATGGACACTGTGTCCTCTGGGCTAAAGACCACTCAGCTTGTTATCAGTGCACAGTTCAAAAGCCAGTATTCATGATGGTATAGGGGGGCATTAGTGCACATGGCATGGGTGACGTGCTCATCTGTGAAGGCACCATTAATGCTGAATGTTATATACATGTTTTGGCAACATATGCTGCCATCCAGACGACGTCTTTTTCAGGGAAGGCCTTGATTATTTCAGCAAGACAATGTCAAACCACATTCTGCATGTATTACAACAGCATTGCTCCGTATTAAAAGAGTCCGGGTGCTAAACTGACCTGCCTGCAGTCCAGACCTGTCACTACTGATAATATTTGGCACATTATAAAATGAAAAATATGACAAAGGAGACTCTGAACTGATGAGCAGCTGAAATCCTGTATCAAACAAGAACAGGAAAACATTTCACTGTCTAATCTACAGCAGTGTCTCCTCAGTTCCCAGACGCTTACAGAGTGTTGTTAAAGAAGAGGTGATGAAACACAGTGGTAAACAGGCCCCCGTCCCAACTTTTTTGGAACGTGTTGTTCGGCATCAAATTCAAAATGGGCACATATTTTTCAAAAAACATAACATTTCTCAGTTTCAACATTTGATTTGTTGTCTTTGTACTATTTTAATGAAATATAGGGTTTAAATGATTTGCACATCATTGAATTCTGTTTTTATTTACATTTTTCACAGCATCCCAACTTTTTTGGAAATGATGTATAATTTCAATAGATTATGGTAAAATTATGTTCCCTGATTAAAGGTACTGAGATGTTCCCTTGAGGGTTCCACCCCAGTGACAAGAGGGGGACTGCCCCAGTGACAGTTTCGTGTCTTTAAGAGTGTACTGCATTCAGTTAGTGGAAATGAGTGGGTTACTACTGTAGCGGTGGTTCTTTTCATGAGGTTTTACTTTCTCTTGAACTTTACTCTCTGTCTGTCCATGTGTCTCTTCTCATCACTCCTTTTCAGCCGCAAGCTCATCACAGATTTAACTGGCGCCGTCATTAGAGCACTTATACCTCTGCGATCTGATTAGCTCTGTAATTGAGAGGCATCTGTGTTCCTGTTAGGAAAACGAGGCCTCCTTTTATCATCACTCTTCTGTAAGAAGCCTCTTCTCTGCTGTGCTGTTCTGCACTAATGCTTCAAACCTCAAACCGCTCCACAGAGAGGAAACATCTAATTAAAAAAGGCACATGAGCTCGTTGTCAAGTCGTGACCAAAATGGCATGACTCATATTAGTTTTATTTAAAGAGACAGAGACCAAGGGGACCTTTCCTTCAAGAGAGTCTACTCAAATTTTTTTATTTCCAGAATGGCGGCCGCTGTGGAGCGATTGACGGTGCAGTTGGTTGCTGGAATGATCTTTCGGCTGGTTGTGTGAGCAGAAGATGCTACAGCTCAAAGAAACAGTGGGTCAGCACATCAGACGCTGAAAGAAATAATGCGAACTCAGTGGTAAACCATCTCTTATGAGGTGCGTGATTCCAAAGTGGAGCAGCCTTTGTCGGCACTGTGTGCTTCATGTCTCGAATGGTGCAGGAAAAACTAAAAGACTTGAAGTCTGGAGAATATTGTTGCTCTAAAGCGTTCTAGATTCGATTGTCCTAGTCCGGTTGTTTCAGAGGGGGAATTTACTAAAATATACACAAGTGAAAGTGTATAGTAAATAATTAAACCAATACTTTGGCTTATTTGAAGTATTAGTTAAAAATAGCGAATTTAGCTGCATTGATTCTTGAAATAGGCAAAGGTATTTTGCTGGTTGAAAAGCTAATTTCTCTAGATAAAATTAGGTAAAATTAATTAAAAAAATCATTATCTTCAAAAGGCAAGGTTTATGTTTTTGTAGCGCAGTTGATGAAAAACCATGGCTGGCTGTTGAGGACCATCAGCAGGCTGTTGAGGATCATAAGTTGTTGAGGACCATCAACTGGTTGTTGAGGATCATTAGTTGTTGAGGACCATCAGCAGGCTGTTGAGGATCATTAGTTGTTGAGGACCATCAGCTGGTTGTTGAGGACCATCAGCTGGTTGTTGAGGATCATTAGTTGTTGAGGACCATCAGCTGGTTGTTGAGGACCATCAGCTGGTTGTTGAGGACCATCAGCTGGCTGTTGAGGATCATTAGTTGTTGAGGACCATCAGCTGGCTGTTGAGGATCATTAGTTGTTGACCACTGGCCTGTTGTATACGATCACTGGTTGGATGTTGGGATCATTGGTTAGTTATTGTGGACCATTGGCCTGTTGTTTAAAGACATGAGCTTGTTGCCGAGGACCATTGGCTGGTTGTTGAGGACCATTGGCTGGTTGTTGAGGACCATCAGCTGGTTGTTGAGGACCATCAGCTTGGTTGTTGAGGACCATCGGCCTGTTGTTAAAGACATGAGCTTGTTGCCAAGGACCATTGGACCATCAGCTGGTTGTTGAGGACCATCGGCTGGTTATTGAATCATTCTGAGATTTAGACGCAGGTTAATCAGCAACTCTGTGCATTAGTGACATATTTAAAGGAGATAATGGACACAACTGTTTAAGCACAACACATGCTGTATTCCAATTGACCGGTTCCTTTCCCCTTAGCTCCACAAACATATATTACCTTATTGGTCTACCTTGTAGATGTAAAGTCAGGGACAGCAGCTCATGTGTGTCAGCATAGTTTGTGTCGGTCATCCTCTAGTCCTTCATCAGTGGTCACAGGACGCTGCCCACAGGACGCTGTTGGCTGGATATTTTTGGTTGGTGGACTATTCTCAGTCCAGCAGCGACACTGAGGTGTTTAAAAACTCCAGCAGCACTGCTGTGTCTGATCCACTCAGACCAGCACAACACACACTAACACACCACCACCACGTCAGTGTTACTGCAGTGCTGAGAATGATCCACCACCCAAATAGTACCTGCTCTGTGAGGGTCCATGGGGGTCCTGACCACTGAAGAACAGGGTAAAAGGGGACTAACAAAGTGTGCAGAGAAACAGATGGACTACAGTCTGTAACTGTAGAACTACAAAGTGCACCTATATAGTAAGTGGAGCTGATAAAATGGACAATGAGCGTAGAAATGTGGAGGTGGTCATAATGTTATGCCTGATCAGTGTATGTTGATATAGCAGAAAAGAGACACCAGTTGGGTTGGCTTTTGTACACAGAGCGGATTCAGTTCTTGGAATCCCGTTAAACCTGTCCTGAAGAATCTTTCGTGGGAAACTGAACCGTTCGTCCAGTTGAGGAACAGAGCTGAAGCTAAAAGCCCACAAAAATGTAGAAGAGAAGGAGAAAAAGATGAGTCAAACTGTTACACGTCCACACCCAACACGATATGAACAATGTTTGTCTGTGTGCAGGAATGTTGGTGGGGGCCTTGGACACCATGCTGGACTCCAACGCTCGAGTAGCACCATTCCGGATTCTTCTGCAGGTGCCGGGGTCACAGGTCAGCTGGGTCATCGCCAGTGGTGAGTAGTCTTCTTTACGATAACATTAGTGTGGTTATGTTTGAACACAGGAATGACCAGAGAGGAGACAAATAGTTTATATAGGGCCAGATTTTCTGAAACTGTTTGCCGTGTTGCTAATGCATTTTTCATGAGCACACGAGGGCGCCACTGAGCTGCAGTGTTTAGCGCTCCTGAATTACATTGATTGTTAAATTTCTGCAAAATTAAATGGTTAAGACGTAAACTGAGCCGTTCAGAGTGGTTCGGTGTGAAACGCTCTGTTCCAGAGAAACTTACCGAGTCAGAACTGTTCACAGTGGTGGTGATAGGAACCAGACGTCCACCTCTAAAAGCTCCCTCTCAGAAAGTTACTAGCTACATGAAATGGTTATGAATTCACTGCCTGATGACTGAGACACTGTTTTATGATAGTTTTGTGATAATTTTGGCCCAAAACATATTCATGGCCTAGACATACATGCAGGGCTGAATAGTCTCCAAGGAAAATATTTATTTTGTTTAGATTTGCTACAATTTTATTTACATATAAAAATGTTGTTGATGGTAAAAAGTTGGTAAGTTTCTCTGCAGTAAACCATTTTTTATCAAACCAAATATGCATTTTAGAACATGATAATATTATGCAAACTAACAACCAGGAGTGATTTTCCAATATGAACTGCCCAAAAATTTGCCACATCATTCACTTAAAAAGTTCTATCATATAATTATCATATAATTCAACTAATTTATTAGAATTTCCTCCACTTTTATCTATTTATGAGTTTCTTTTTATTGCTTCGTTCACTTTGGGCTGAGTGTTACTCTTCCCATACATAAAAAATGTATCAAATACATCTTTAAATGCTGAAAATGTCCAGAAATGTTTAATTTACTTTTGGAATTAAACAAAATCCTATTTATACACCAATGAGCCAAAACATTATGACCTCTCACAGATGAAGGGAATAACGTTGATTATCTCGTAACACTGGTGCATATTAAGGTCTGGGAAGTATTAGATGGTTAGCGAACAGTCGGTTCTCATAGTCGAAGTCTTGGATGTGGGAGAAATAGGCCTGAGTGACTTTGACAAGGGCCAGAAGACAGGGTCAGAGCATCTCTGAAACGGCAAGGCTTGTGGGGTGCTTTTGGTCATCAGTGGTGAGTACCTGCAGACAGGTCGCCTGATTCAATTCAAGAAGGATGCACAACGTGAGACAAACCTAGTTTTCAGCTCTCTTCCTGAGTTTTGTGCACTTCTTAGTAAATCTGGCTTGTAAAGCGAATATAAACGTCCTGGCTGTTTATTAGAAATGTCCTTTATTTTCCTTTTTTTACTTTATTTTTTACTTTATTTTTCTTATTTCACAATTATCACTGGTAGACCTCGAAAGAGAAAAGACAGAATAATCAAAAAATAAACAAACATTATTAAAGAGATCTAGTCTAGTATCCAACTGCTAAACCGGACCATTTTACAATCATCCAGGGTTACACAGTAATACATAACATAGACATGCATACCCATCACCTTTTACATATCCTCTTAATTGCTTACCCTGGTTGCCCAAATATTTTAAAATCCATTTCTCCCAGTATTTTGTAAAGCATTCCATCCTTAGTTTTAACATAAATGTAAGTCTTTCTATTGAGTAAATTTCGTGGACAATTTCAAACCACTGTTGGGGGGGGTCCTGCTGCATCCACTTTGTTGTTATGGCCTTTTTACTAGCTACCAATAATATTTTAAGCAGGTATTTATCGTTCTTCCCTACTAACTGGAGTACTTTCCCAAAATAAAGATTCACCCATGAAAACTCAGACATAATTCCAAATAGGTCTCCAGTGACATTCCCAGTCTCTTGCCAAAAAGACTTATTGGACAGCCCCAAAAATGATCAGCCATTTGTGTATCACACCATCCCCTAACGCTGTCCCTGGCCAAGAAATGTCCTTTCTTGTAACTCGCCTTTGCTGGTGAACAGTTACAGACTGTAGCTCATCTGTTGATGCACAGTTTGTGTTTGCCATCCTCTACGTCTTCATCTGTGGTCAGTTTCTGACCACAAAGCCACTCTTGCCTGGATAAAAACAGAAACTGACGAACGACGAGAGGGCTCATGAACTGTGTAGCAACAGATGGACTACAGTCTGCAACTGTACATCTATACAGTGGAGCTCAATGTGGCCAGAGTGTGAACCGATGGGCTTCTAATAAAGTGAATGCACAGTATGTGTCTTATGTCTTATATGTGTGTTGGTGTGCAGGAGCCACAGCCGAGGAGGTGCAGAAACACTGGAAATGGCTGGATCAGAACTTGTTGCCATACATGTCGGTGTTTGAGAACAAACAGGATGCTGCGAGCTTTGCACAGGGCAAAGTCAAGGTGCTTCCACACTCAAATTACATAGGAGTTCATATGGGTGTAAAAGTCTTCATCATTTCACAAACATAGATGTCTAATAATCTCACACGGACACCCTTGTGCACATATACAACACATTCATACGCTTACACATTCATATGGTTTTTGTCGATGCTGATATTTAGGTCATTTGATGTTTGTTTCATGTCATTATTGCCAATATTTTTCATAATATTGTAAAATCATAATGTTTTTAGGGGGGGGGCTTTATGTAAGCCTATTAGGTTTTTGCCTCTCCCTGCACTGTATGTTGTCTTTGTCTATTTGTGTGTATTTTAAATTGGGCAAAAAATAAACTACAAACACAAACATGGAAATATTTGTTATAAAGTACTCCAGAGAACGCACTCTCCACTGCTCCACAGCCCAAAGCGGGGGCTTTATACCCCTTTAGCCCACGCTTTGCTTTGACCATGGTGACTTTAGGCTCATGTGCAGCTGCCCCAAGAGTCCAGTGCCATTCATCACTGCTTTTATATGGAGATTATCTACTGTGCCAACCTAAAGTAGCTGAATTCACTCATTAGATTAGGCTGTCTGGACTTAGAGTGTAAAGTTCACAAAACCTCTGGCTGAAATGATCTAATGTGGCTGTGTTTGTGTGTAATGCCAGGGGCTGATAGCTGAGGAGGTTCTCGGTGGGCAGGCTGCGCTGGAGGATGACCCGACCCGCTTCAGGGAGGTCCTGGCCCGGTTTGAGCAGCGGTTCGGTCTGCCGCAGCAGGAGAAGCTGGTGGCTCATTACTCCTGCTGCTGCTGGAAGGGCCGAGTGCCGCGGCAGGGCTGGCTCTACCTCTCCACCAATCACCTCGCGTTCTACTCCTTCCTGCTCGGGAAAGAAGGTGAGGGGAACAAAAGACAATTTAGGTTTTTTTTGTTTTGGTTTGTTTTTTTTGCTAGTGCGTACATTCTCACACTATAAGTATACGTTTTAGTATACTATCTCAACTTAAAACTTACCTCTTAAGTGTTTAGTCATATTGTCGGGAGATTGTGAGTGATGCCACAGCCATACATGGCTGGGAGTCCAAAAGAGCATAACTAGCCACGTTTACATGCAGCCCAATAATCCGTTAATAATCGGACTAATAGCTCAACTGGAATAGAATACGTCCATGTAAACACCTCAGTCAGACTAGACTAGTCTGATTGAGGCCATTCGGAATACAGTGTCTGTCCAACTGATCGAGGTGGGTAATCCTGTAGATAATCTGTTAAATAGAAGAATAATAATCGTGTAAACGCCTGTATCTGATTACATTCCCTATCGGAAAGTTTAAGTCCGTTCTGATCATGTTCGTCGCGTCATAGTGAAAGTTTATACCGTTCAACATGGCGGAGCAGAAACTGGTCTGCAGAGGAGACGAAGTTTATGCTCTGATCTTTAAAAGACGGTGGTGGGACGGACGTCCAGCTTATGTGTCTCAGAGCACGACGTCTTCCTCTCGGCCTTCTTTAATAAGGACATGTGAAGGACGTTTTCCTGAGTCTGACATCATTTTAAAGTCATTAAGAACACAAGCGCTGCTCACTGCTGCTCATCTCACTCTGACTGGACTCACGTGATGCTGGTTGTCATAGTAACGGCTACACTAAGTGGTTCTCTACGCATATGCGTAAATTTGGATCGGATTGCTTGTAGTGAGCATGTAAACAGAGATTTTCCATCAGGTTCTTGAGTAGAGTGAGAATAAACACCCCAGTCTGAATCTGTAATTGGAATGAATTCAATCAGATTGGCAAGAATCTTAGCATGTAAACACAGACAGTGTCCTCTCTCTCTCTGAGTGGGTCCTAATTCTCTCCCATCTCTCGGCACGATACTAGCCAACGCTGGCATCTGTTATTTGCTGCAGCAGAATTTGCATTTAGTATCCTACTCCAAGCATGTTGAAGTCCAGTGACGATAGCAGTTTGAAAAGATGTGGTGGAACTTCACGTGTCCCAGAGGAAACAGGTGGTAGCCTTAACCCTCCCAGCTTGGTAGCATCGTGTGATAGTGGGAGACCCAGCGGGCGAGTGGACTTGGACGTAAATAAATTGGGGAGAAATAATAATTTTAAAAGTAACTTATCTCTTTTTCCAGTATTGTTACCTTTTCTATGAAATAGCACTTATGGAAAATGTACAGATGTGTGGACCAAATTCAGGCTTCAAGCTAGCTGCTACTGTTTGTAGGTATTTGACACACTTCAGTCCATGTTTATAGATGCGTATATGTCAAAAAACACATAAACAAGTCTTATTTGAGATTACTTAACAACTCCATGTGGTTTGATGTGCATAAGTGATGATTCAAGCATGCACTTAGCACCATGATGGACTGTATTGCAGTGAAGCTGCTGGTGCCGTGGGCGGAGGTGACGGGACTGGAGCGGGCGTCTTTAGGGCTAATGACGGACGTTATCCGGGTGCGGACGCGTCAGAGGCAGCGCGACTTCTCCATGTTCCTGAACGTGGATGAAGTGATGACCGTGATGAGCCAGCTGGCTGACCTCGCGCTGCGCAGACTGCTGGACAGTGGTGGGCTGGAAGTGGACAAGAGCCTGCAGCAGGCCACCAATGTTACCAAAAGGTAAGATTAATGACAAATAAACACACACAGTTCATAACCAACCAACACCAGTTTAGTTTCAGATAAATAATAGTTTCACTATAAAATTGGTTCTGATCTGTTCATCCTGTACAGCACTATGAGTTTCAAATAATTAGCATGAAGGTGTAAAATATGAAGAAATGTTTTTTTGTCCAGAATGAACAGAACTGTAGATTTCAGTATCAGTGAGAAAGCTGAAGAACATCAAGACTAAAGTCCTAATAAAACGAATATCAACAACAACAACGTCTCGTATTTCAAAAGCAGAGATCAGATCTCAAAGCAGATAAAAAATGAGTGTAAATGGATAACTGTAGTGTCTTGAAATATTGACTAAAATCTGAAAAATACCTTTTGGTGTCTATTTAAGTCTACGGGGCATTTTACTGAAGCAAACAGAAATAAGAGATGAAAATTAGCAAAACAAACAAAGAGGCTGCTGGTGTTCTCAGAAGAATGGACTGGCCACCCCAGAGTCCAGATCTCAGCATCACTGATTGTGTTTGATTACTTCAGAAAATGATCAACCAGCTTCTAAGACTGAACTTTGGAAGTGTGGAAAAACATCCCTGCAGATTTCTTTGATAAACTGAAAGTGAGTTTCCTGAAAGAGTAGAAACTATAATCATGGTCTCTGACTTACAGGGTACAGTATAAGTGGTTCTAAACTTTGGAGCTGTAGTGTATAAAACATGTTTTTTTGCCAGATAGATAGATAGAAAGAAAGCAAGAAAGAAAAAAAGAAAGCAAGAAAGAAAGAAAAGAAAGCAAGAAAGAAAAAAAGAAAGAAGGAAAGAAAGAAAGCAAGCAAGCAAGAAAGAAAGCAAGAAGGAAAGAAAGCAAGCAAGAAAGAAAGAAAGCAAGCAAGAAAGAAAGAAAGCAAGGAAGCAAGCAAGAAAGGAAAGAAAGAAGGAAAGAAAGAAGGAAAGAAAGAAGGAAAGAAAGAAAGAAGGAAAGAAAGCAAGCAAGAAAGAAAGCAAGCAAGAAAGAAAGCAAGCAAGAAGAAAAGAAAGCAAAAAAGAAAGAAGGAAAGAAAGAAAGCAAGCAAGAAAGAAGGAAAGAAAGAAGGAAAGCAAGAAAGAAAAAAGAAAGCAAGAAAAGAAAGCAAGAAAGAAAAAAAGAAAGCAAAAAAGAAGGAAAGAAAGAAGGAAAGAAAGCAAGCAAGAAGGAAAGAAAGGAAAAAAGAAAGAAAGCAAGAAAGAAAGCAAGCAAGAAAGAAAGCAAGAAAGCAAGAAAGAAAGAAGAAAGAAAGAAAGCAAGAAAGAAAGAAAAAGAAAGAAGGAAAGAAAGAAGAAGAAAGAAGCAAAAGAAAGCAAGAAGAAAGAAAGAAGGAAAGAAAGAAAGAAAGCAACAAGAAGGAAAGAAAGAAAGCAAGAAAGCAAGCAAGAAGGAAAGAAAGCAAGAAAGAAGGAAAGAAAGAAAGCAAGAAAGAAAGAAAGAAAGAAAGCAAGAAAGAAAGCAAGAAAGAAAGCAAGAAAGAAAGCAAGAAAGAAGGAAAGAAAGAAGGAAAGAAAGAAAGCAAGAAAGAAAGAAAGAAGGAAAGAAAGAAAGAAAGCAAGCAACAAGAAGGAAAGAAAGCAAGAAAGCAAGCAAGAAGGAAAGAAAGCAAAAAAGAAAGCAAGAAGGAAATTAAGATCTTTTTTTATTCATTGATTGATTGATTGATTGATTGATTGATCTCAAAGGGAAATTGCAGTGTTTCAGTAACAAGACATATAATTTCACATAAACTTACATAAACTATGCAGAAAATAAGAAATAGACATAAGTTAAGTATAAGAGTAGAATTAAAGTATATCTATTTGCATATTTACATAGCATATGAGACAGATTGGTTGTATTTGCATGATAACAGGCACTGAGTGGGATGAGGTAAACTAAAAGCACAATGAGTCTAGAACGAAGACGCTGCATGTTCTAGACACCTAAGATAAAGATTAAATAAGGAAAAATAATGAACAAGAGAGAAAGAAAGAGAACAACTAAACTGAACGGTGCAGTATTCTGAGTGAAGTAGTTACTGCACAGCTTACTGCAGTCAGTGTGAATTTACGGTGAGTTTAAATGGGTCACAGTGTACAGACAGTCATAAGTAGATAAACCAGCAGGTTCCCTTTTATGTACTCTTTTAAACCTGGTTGAAAGTGTGAACACTTGTGTTTTTTGGTTTTGTGTGTGTGTGCAGAGTAAATTACAAGCTGCGTGTGAAAAGCAGCACCGCTATATTTATGAGACCGATGCAGTGGTTTCTCTTTCACTTCAGTCCCAACTGCCTCATTCCAGACTGATCTGGTTTGAGGGCCCTTTAAGTTAGGACACCAGCGTCTCCTTCCTTAAGCCATCGCTGCTGCATCAGATGGTCCTCATTAGGCTGTGCTTACAAAGAACTTGGCGATCGCAAACATTGGTGACATCAGTAACCCTGTTTGTTTGTGTTCAGGCGAACTTGCTTTGACCACTAACGTTAGCATATTAACTTGATCATTTTTGCCATCTTACTCATCCCTCATTTGAAAACATGTACATAAAACAAACACAGATGTAAGAAAATGTGTATGGTTTAAAATATGGCCATTTAGAAACATACAGTCTCACTGAAACTGTTAGCCAGTTAGCTGGTTAGCTAGCCTAATCTATTTTGCTACCTTCCTAGCAATAAAAACAGGCATAATACAGTCTCTGTTTACAGATGGAATCAAGTGTATATGGTCTAATTGGTGACTGGCTATTGTATTAACCCAGACAGCAAGCATATATCGGTCCACTAGCTTAATAAGGTCGGCACCCCACTGACTGTTTGCCGCTGCTGGTCCACCCTCAGACAGTAATCTGGTAATCTGTCCTGCTGACAAGGTCTAACTAGTTTTTAATCTCCTCAAACAGATTTTAAATGCACAGAGCCATTTATAAAACTCAGACAAATATTGCAAACAACTGAGAAAGAAAAAAAATAATGACTAGGCCTGATATAAAACGATTTAATAGAAAATGTTGTTGACACTGAGCTGGATTAAAATTATTCACTAAACTAATTTACAAAGTGTAACTAAAGAAAGGAAGGAAGGAAAAATAAGTAAGCAGGACTGTAAGTGGAACATGAGTGATGGTAAGTGGAATTTTGTCTATTACTCTGCTTAACCACTGGTGGGCCGCCTGGAAAACGCTGAGCAAAACGTCAGTGGACCGCCAGCTTTGTAATCAGTGGGCCGACGGTGGTCCACTGTCCTCTTGCTATCAGGGAAGAAAAATTAAATAAAAAAAAGCTACCATATTCCACTGAAACAGTCATGAAAGCTAAAAGTCAGTAACAAGTCTGAAGCTCTGTTATCAAAAGTTAAAGATTTCACTTTTACAATAACTGACCCTTCACTAAACCCTTAAGTACTAATTGTGGATTAGTACAGACTGTAAACAGTTAGCATAGAAACTGTGTGGTCACTGGCACCTCTAACAAGCATTGAAAGGTTCCAGATATCCAAGAGTTTAGATGGTGAAGCGAAATTTAGACTTAAAAAGACTTAAGACTTGTGAAATTTCAGACTGAGAAATAAAATCTAACAAAACTGATTAAATGAGCAACCTTGAATTAATAAAACCTCTAATTTCCAACGTTACGTGTGTGACTTTGTCAGTTTTGCCACGTTTACACGTCATTGCTGCAGTGTTGTCAGGTTCAAAATGGCTTCAAATAACCAGCCTTTACTACAGAAAAACCTTCAGTCTGAAGGACAAAACAGAGGAACTACTTGCAATAAGTGTGGCTTAAAAGACAGAGAAAAACAACTAGAAAAGGCTGGATAGCGAATAGTTGGGATAGCAAGTAGGCTAGCTAGTTTAGTAGCTATTAAGTTGTCAGCCAGTCTAGCTGAAGTTGTAGCTACACATCACATTCCTTTACAGCTTTAGCTGGATTAGCTGTTATGCTAGTTAGCCAGCATATTTGCTGTACAAATTACAGACTAATTAGCTGTTGTTTTACTGTAAACACGGCACTGACTGCAGGTAGCGCTTCAGCTCTGTCCTTCAGTCTGAAGGTTTTCTATAAATGTTCATTATTGGAAGTCGTGTTGAACCTGACAGGTTTGTAAGTAGGGTTTACTTTATACAATGCAATGAAAATTCTCTGCTAAAGACTCGAGACTCAACTGTGGTAAAAAAAAAAAAAGTCTTACAGAACATGTAGGTTTTGTCTGTGCCAAACCATATGTGTGTGTGTGCGTGTATATATATATATATATATATATATATATATATATATATATATATATATAACCGCGACCCTATCTGGACTAAGCGGTTAACGATGATGATGATGATATATGTATATATATATATATATATATATATATAGATGCTGCGTTGTCTGTTGAGGTGATACGTCTGTGCATCCGCCATGTTGGAGAGGTCAAGATCTGCTTGTGAACAGATTCACTTGTATTGAGAGACGATGAGTCTCAGGATTAAATCAGCCACGACTTCCTTATTACTCAATCGATTTTCACCACATCTATTTTGTTATAATCCTCAGACACAGATTAATCTAAGCTGTACGGATCTGCTCTCTGTACCTTTTATTACTTTAATAACTGATTGTGATAATTAGCCGTCCAGACCAGCAGAAAAATATTCAGTCTGCACCCGACGTTAAAAACCAAGTCAACATAAACATAATCACACACATCAGCAAATCCATCAATGTGTGAATCACTTCTAATCTTAATACACATAATAATAAAATAAACCCCCAAAACACACAAGCGCCAGCTTCTTGTTCAAGTTTTCCCGTTCTACCTTTAATGGTGAGGCAGTCACTTTTTGGTGCCTGAAGCTGCACCATTTAAGGTGGAACAGGAAAATTTGAACAACATGCTGGCAAATAACAAGCTAACTTCAGGTTTGTGTAAGAAGGTTCTAACGTTAATCTGTTATGAATATCTACACGGATTAAGAAATGCTATAATTTACTGCTACAAAGCTTTAACCATCATTGTAAATTAATAACTGCTACATAAAGTTAAGATCCCCTGAATAGACTATTAAATGAAATAAGCTTAATATAAAACTAGAGGAAGAACAATCACATCAGCAGGTTCTCTGTGCATCACCAACCACACGGCCATATCTACACAAACATCACACAAACAATACACATCACACAGACATGAGTGTGGATCACTGCGTTCCCTCCGTTATATAATCCTATCCCACTTTCTGAGAGTAATATTCCTGAAATAGTGTAATTTTGGACAGTATCTTTCTTAAACTGCCGCTCTGTGATGGTACTGAATGCAGTCCAGCAGCGATGTTGACCTCCCTAAAATGGCGGCGCTGTTGACGTGCCTGGTTGGACGCAACCCGGCATCTAGACATGTATATCTATGATGCCAAACTACGGCGCTAAGTTGGCTAGCTAACTAGTCTTACTTTTTAATGAGGCCTTTCTTTGTTGACTTCAGTCGCAACTGGTCTGTTCCAGAATGATCCGGTTCGAGGGCCCTTTGAGTCAGCGCACCACTGTCTTCTTTCTAAAGCCATCACTGCCATGTTGGATCCTCATAATTAAGCTATAATTGCAAAAGACTTAGTCATCAGAAACATAATCAGAAACATCAGAAATCAGGGGCCGTATTACAGAAAGTTCTTAAGTCTGAGATCATATCTTATCTGCTTTGTTGTCATGTTAAGGCTGAAGTTAGGACAGAAGCCATTACAGAACAACGGTTCTTAAGTCTATAATCTTATTTCCAGATAAAACGGTTTTACAGAAACATCCTAAGCTGCCAAAATATCCTAAATATTTTCTTAACTGTAAGATAAACCCCAGAGTCTTAACTTCTATGACTATGCAGTGTCAGGCAGCACAGTTCACTATAACCAGCATAACGACGCTACATTTATCTACACTGAAAACGCTGCTTTGACTTGTGAGGTTTTTTCTAACAGTGTTTAAAACCTCAGACGCTGCAGATTCGATCTCCACCGCCCCTCTGATTACCTTCGTGTGTTAATGTTGATGATGAAATATTACAGTGATGGTGGTGAATAACGAGGAGACGGAGCTGAACGTGTGTCTGTTTATTAGGAGGAGTAACGTTAGCGCGCTCGGCTAAAGCGTTTGGGAAATGGAGACTGGAAATGGAGACTGAAACTGGAGACGGACGCTCTGATAAACAGCACAAAGCGCTGAGACGATATTATTAACTTTCAGTTTATCGTGCTTTAGTTTTATTTGACCTTTTTTTACATCAGTAAAGGTAGCTAACGTTAGCTGTCTGGCTAACTAACTTGATTACATGTTTACGTTTCAGCTGTGCACGTATGGTCGGTTGCTAGGCAACAGACAAGACAGTTGATTGTCGACTTCAGTTGAGTAAGTTAAGATTGCCTAACTTGAGATGAGAAAGGCTGTAAGATAAAATGAGATTCTTAAATTAAGGTCAGATTTGCTTCTGTAATACGAATTCGTGAAAATCTTATTTTGACTTGTCAGATCTTAAGTTAAGACAAAAAGACAGGAGGTTTCTGTAATACGGCCCCAGAAACATAGGTGATATCAGGAACCCTGTTTCCATGTTCAGGCGTATTTACTTGGTAGTGTTAGCTAGTTAGCTAACCTGATCTATTTTGGCAGATGTATAGCAACAGTGACCGAAGTGGGCCTTAGGAATGGGTCAGAGTTTGAAATGTAGCATGAATATCAGTCCTAATCTGAATGTGTGTGTCTCAGGGTGCTGGAGCATCAGGCTCTGCGGCAGTATGTGCTGTCTCTGTTCGGGCTGCCGCGCTCGGAGAAGCTGCAAGAAGTGATGAACTGCTCCATGTGGACGCCCCACGCCCGCTGCCACACACCCGGAAAGCTCTACACCACTGACAACTACATGGGCTTCAGCAGCCGACAAGAGGGCCAGTGCACCCTCCTCATCCCACTCGCGGAGGTACAGCACCATTCACACGCATACATTAGACCCTGACTGTATCTTTAATGATCTGTTTGGTCCCTGACTGTATCTTTTAATGGGTGTGTGTGGGCCCTGACTGTATCTTTAATGGGTGTGTTTGGGCCCTGACTGTATCTTTAATGGGTGTGTTTGGGTTGTGACTGTATCTTTAATGGTTGTGTTTGGGTTGTGGCTGTATCTTTAATGGGTGTGTGTGGGCCCTGACTGTATCTTTAATGGGTGTGTTTGGGTTGTGACTGTATCTTTAATGGTTGTGTTTGGGTTGTGACTGTATCTTTAATGGTTGTGTGCTCCCTGACTGTATTTTAATGAGTGTGTTCGTGTCCTGACTGTATCTTTATTGGTGGTGTGCTCCCTGACTGTATCTTTAATGAGTGTGTTTGGGTCCTGACAGTATCTTTAATGGTTGTGTGCTCCCTGACTGTAGCCTAATTAGGCCCCGAGTGTAGCTTCGATGATGTTTTGTGTCTCAGCTGTATAATGTGGTTGTGTTTACACTCTGACTGCATCTTTAACGTCTGTGTGCAGGTGCAGTCCATCGAGAAAGCGGAGAGTACGAGTGCCCTGCCAAACCCAGTGATCATCAGCGTGAAGTCGAAGAAGGCGTTCCAGCTGATCGAGTTGGTGCAGCGGGACGAGCTGGTGGAGAACCTGAGCGATCGGCTGAGGGCCCTGCACTGGAGGCAGGCTGTGTTCAGGGGTAACAACCAGCGCAAAAAATCAATGGTAAATCTTTGGGCTGATAGCAAATCAATTAGATCCATTAGATTCAAGAAATATCACAAAGCTGAATGGTTAGAGTGATGATTGGCTCCATTTGGAAATAGCATGTGGATATATTTGTCATGGAAAAAAAACATTCAGCTCTAGTCTCAAGCAGATTGTGTTTTCCAGGTCTCCTCCACTCCGTACTATACATTCTACTATGACGGAGCGAGCTCAGAGGAGAACGACGAAGTTTCTGACGAAACGCTGCGGAACACGGTACTCACCGAAGCGCTCATTACCACCTTCCAAAGCAGCCAATCACAGTCCCCCAACAACAAAACTGTGAGTATGGAGCCCTGCCATTCGCTGGGGCTTTCTGCACAAACACACAGTTAATTGTGGCTCATTGAAGCCCTGACCGACCCAAGTTCAGAGGATAAAGAGTGTGTGGAGCTGTTTGCTTAAGCTACTTTTAATTTATATTCTTGTTAGCACCAGAGGTTAATGATAGCTTACTGAGAAGGCTAAACCACTGGCAATTCTGGCTCACTGCTGCCTCACTGAGGCAAGTTTAGAGGCGAAAGACTCAAATCTGAGTGAAATTGAGCGAGAGGTGCTGGAGTGACAGATGGACAGAGCTCACAGAGGGAATTTATTTTTAATTCTGCTCAGTTTGTTCCAACAGAGGATGCAGGATAGTGGGGGAAGGGGCGGGGTTTAGAAACAGCACAGCAAGGGGGCGTTTACAGTTTGCATAATCATGCATATTCATAGATTGTTGCATTCTAAATGAGTGTCGAGGTTTGACCATTTTTAGTAGCTTCTTGGGCGAAACGATAAAAATATTTAACTATTTATTATTGAACATAGATTTTTTGTGTATTATGGTTTATGATTTAAGGTGGTACTTTAAAATTTTGACTTGATTTTGTTCCTAAAGATGTCAGAGCAGCTGAGGGTGCGGTTGTGGGGGGATCACTTTGAAGAGTTCGGCCGCGGCGTGCACATGTTCCGCACGGATAAAATCCGCAAACTGGTTGCCATGGGGATCCCGGAGTCTCTGCGTGGAGAGTTGTGGCTTACCTTTTCAGGTGAGGGAGAGAGAGAGGTGTGTTTGTGTGTGTGTTTGTGTTGGTGTGTGTGAGAGCTGTCTTTTAAGGGGGGCGGGATGGAGGGGGGGGTGCACCTGTTGAGAAGAGGGGATCCCCACCCCCCCCCCACAGTGTGAGGCTGAAATATTAATAAAAGCTCTTAGGAAAAACGACAAAATTTGTAACTTTTAACAGGTAGAGTAACACCTTTAGAGGGGAACTTGCCCTGTTTCTGTTTTGAGTCTTTTATTTTGTATCCCCCCCTGATAAATTAAAACAATGTACCCAGCCCACAAATAATAAAGTTATGCCCATAAAGTGTGTAGTCTGTGACAGTCAGGTATACTCCATAACTATTGGGAAACAACTAGGATTTGCATATAATCACTTAAACATGCATAATGAAACATAACAGACTTATTTGGCGGCTACTGCTGGTTTTCTAAGTGAAAATAAGTGAAAACCGTCATCTGTTTTTCCACATGCGCAGACTGAGGAATCCAAGTAAGAGTTTACATGCACTGAGAAGTCTAGACCATAGTCCGATCTAAGAAATCCGAGTGTGCTGAATAATCAGATAACTGCAGAAATCCAATTATGAATTTTGAGTGCATGTGAAGACGCTCATTGAGGATTATTGGAAGTGAAATGAGTGTAACGTTATTGGATTGTTCCGTGTTCCACAGACGCGTGCTCGTCGCTGGCCGCCCACCCGGACTACTACGCGGATCTGGTGAGCAGGTGTATGGGGGAAACGAGTGTAGCGACGGAGGAGATCGAGCGGGACCTGCATCGCTCGCTGCCCGAGCACGCCGCCTTCCAGAACCAGACCGGAATCGCAGCTCTACGGAGGGTCCTGACGGCCTATGCCCACCGCAACCCCAACATCGGATACTGCCAGGTACGCAGCATGCAGGATGATTAAAAAACGAAAAAACGGATGAGTACGCACTTAAAAAAGATGGCTCTTCAGGGGTTCTTTGGTAAGGAAAATGGTTCCGTATAGAACCATGAACGCTCAAAGAACCCTTTGCATGATTAAAGGGTTCTTCAGGCTGATGGAGAGTGTTTTTATATGGCTCTCTATAGAACCTTTTTGGAAAGGGGTTTAGATAGCACCAAAAAAGGATTCTTTTATAGATACGATGTCAAGCTTTTAACATTAGAAGAACCCTTTTCGCTGCTATTTAAAACGATCTACAGCACATTCTCCATCAATCTGAAGAACCCTATCACAATGCTAAGAACGCTTGATTCATGCAAAGGGTTCTTTGAGTGTTCATGGTTCTATATAGAACCATTTTCTTTACTAAAGAACACTTGAAGAACCAATTTTTAAGAGTGAAGGTAACAGGTGATTGTTCTAAGGTAAGAACAGAATCTAAACACACTCAAGAGCACAAAGGTGAGAACAGGTCTGCGCTTTAAGAACACGTCATGAATCTGACGGAGACTTTTTCGCAGGACGTTTCTCAAGAACACATTTAAGGAAGAACTTTGGAAGATATTTGGCCCAGTGTTTCTCAACACACGATCACAAGAAATGTAGGGATTTCACCATCTACAGTCCATTATGGCAGTATGAGTATATCTGGACTTTATTCAGTTGTGTATTTGCAATTGCATTCCCAATGTAAGTGTGCATTATTAAAGAAATAATTCAAATTCAAATGCAAAATGTGTATTTGCATTTGCATTTCTGTGCATAATGGCTGTTAATGTGGAAAAGCACTTTCACAACCACATCAGTTAGTGTCCTCAGTTCCGAAACAGTTACTGACCGTTGTGAAAAGGAAAGGTGATGTAACACAGTGGTAAACACCCCTGTGCCAACTTTTTTGGAACATGTTGCAGGGATTAAATTTAGAACAAGTGTATACGAAAACAATAACGTTAATTAGTTGAAACATTAAAAATCTTGTCTTTGTACCATTTTCAGTTGAGTACAAGTAAAAAAATGCAGATTTGCTGATTTTGTTTACAGGTTCAGTCCCAACCTTCGGCGATTGGGCTTGTAAAAATACACAGTACTTGAGTTTAACATGAATAGTTATATAAAATCTATTTGCCGTTTGACCCTCAGAACTGGACCACCACTGTGGAGGGATTCTGTAGCTTCACTCTGCATCGTTACTGGTTTGATAAAATAGCTTCACTAAAGAAAAATATTTTGAAAATCACCACCACTCCACTGGGTAATATGCAAAACTCCAAACATTAGAATAGTAGTGTAGTTAAACTAATAGCCTCATCAGAGACACTACTGCCCAACACTGGTCGCACACACACACGTACACTCTCGTCCAGCTGGCAGCACCTCACAGAAATGAAAGTTCTTGGCTGAAACTGAAACCATCATTCAGGACACATTCAGTCGAAAAACGAGAGTGTTAAAACGTGTTAATTTGCCTTTTTACCATTGAAAAAATTCTGTGTGTATTTTTTAGTTTTTTAGTTTTATGCACTGTGGGAAAGCATTACTGGTGCAAGAGAGCAAAGAAAACACAAGAAAACCATCTTAATCACTGTTTCTAATTCTCATTACCGCTGAAATCTGTGAGTAGGTGTGTCCAAACATTTGACTGGTGTGTGTGTGTGTGTGTGTGTGTGTGTGTGTGTGTGTGTGCGTCTATCCCTCTTCCAGTCCATGAACATCCTGGCTTCTGTGCTGTTGCTCTACGCGAAAGAAGAAGAGGCTTTCTGGCTCCTGGTCACTGTGTGCGAACGGATGCTGCCTGATTACTTCAACCACAGAGTCATTGGTACGTATACACTGCCTGTCCACTTTATTAGAAACACCTACCTTGTACATCCACTAACTGGCCAGTTTATTAGAAACACCCACCTTGTACGTCCACTTACTGGCCACTTTATTAGAAACACCCACTTTGTACGTCCACTTACTGGCCACTTTATTAGAAACACCCACTTTGTACGTCTGCTAACTGCCTGCTTTATTAGAAACACCCACCTTGTATGTCCACTTACTGGCCACTTTATTAGAAACACCCACTTTGTACGTCCACTTACTGGCCCCTTTATTAGAAACACCCACCGTGTACGTCTGCTAACTGCCCGCTTTATTAGAAACACCCACCTTGTACGTCCTCTAACTGGCCACTTTATTAGAAACACCCACCTTGTATGTCCGCTAACTGGCCTCTTTATTAGAAACACCCACCTTGTACTTCCGCTAACTGGCCGCTTTATTAGAAACACCCATCTTGTACGTCCGCTAACTGGCCACTTTATTAGAAACACCCACCTTGTATGTCCGCCAACTGGCTGCTTTTTAGAAACACCCATCTTGTACTTCCACTCACTGACCACATTGATAGAAACAAACACCTCGTACATCCACTAACTGGTTGATTTATTAGAACCACCCACCTTGTACGTCAACTTACTGGCCACTTTATTAGAAACACCTACCTTACTGCTCCATCATATAGGTGTACAGTCATATACTGTTGTCCATCTGCTGTAGCCCATTAATCATTGGTCAGTTTCTGAACACAGGACCACTGTTGTCCAGATATCACTTGGGTGGTGGTCCATTCTCAGCATAGCAGTGACACTGACTGGGTTGAGTGAACCATCCCCAAAAAATATCCCACCAAGAGCAGCTTAGAAGTCAGAAACTGGCCATTGATGAAGAGATGAAGGGAAGGCTAACACAGACTGTGCCTCAGCAGATGGGCTACAGTCTCTGAGGCACCAGCAAGGTGGTACGGAGAGGGGTTTCCGATAAAGTGGCCAAGACGTAGCTGTTTAAATAGTTTGGGGAATTTTATCAGAAAGTGCAACTTCATCAGTGACACAGAACAGACACAGAGGTGTTTCTGCACCAGAGCCGCAGTCACACACCTGTGTACTGATAGCGTCTGTATTTTTATTCATGTTTATTTGTAGAAGTTGCGCAAACAGTTGCTGCGTCGCCACACCTCAGCTCACTTCCTGCTTCGCTGTTCCGCTCTAGTGACTTTTTTTTGGTCAGTGTTTACACCACCAGACCTCTGTGCGTATGTGTGTATGATGTGTGTGTGATGTGTGTGTGATGTGTGTGCGCGTCAGACAGACCAGTGCTGAGGGCAGGATGTGTGTGTATTTATATACATTACTCAGGGTTATGAACAGAGACTGGCCACTAGGGGTCTCCACATAAGTGGTTTCTTGAAAATTAAAAGATGTCGTTGATTTTGGCAAAGATAACGGTTTCAAAACTCAGCAGTCACATAAATACAGAAATTCCCAGTGTTCTCTCCAAAGCCCCGCCCCCAACACGCATGCACCACCTAGACTTGAACACCTGAATGCAGACATTAAAGTAGTTGTTCGTAGGGCCGACCGATCCAAAGAAATAGTCACTGATACTGTTTTTAAGTAGCTAACAGTTCTGAAAACCGATATCGACCAGTTTAATTTTACATGGTCAGAAATTAAATATAACATATTTAATCAACATATTGATGTTTTAATTAAATGAGGTATGTAAATTGTCATTTGATTGAAATCTGTAACATTGCATCGACCAAATCAGATTTCTGTATGCAAATTATCAGACTGTACAGATTCTCTCTCTCTCTCTCTTTCTTTTTCATCACTCACTCTTACTCTCCCTCTCCTTTCTCTCTCTCACTCACTGTTCTTTCTCTTCTCTATTTCTCTCTCTCCGTCTTACATTCTGTCTCCTTCCTGTCTCTGTCTCTTTTCTCTCTTCCCTCTCTTTTTCTCTCTCCTTCTCACCTCTATCTCTCCTCTCTTTCTGTATATCTCCCTTGCTCCACTCTCTCTGTCTCTTCTCTCATCTGTCTTTCTTTCTCTCTCTCTTTCCTGTCTCTCTCTCTCTCTTTCCTCTCTCTCTCTCTCTCTCTCTCTATCTCTCTCTCTCTTTCCTGTCTCTCTCTCTCTCTTTCCTGTCTCTCTCTCTCTCCCTCCCTCACCTCTGTCTCTCTCTCTCACCCCCTCTCTCTTTCTTTCTCTTTCACTGTTCTTTCTCTTCTTTATTTCTCTCTCTCTTCATTTCTATTCTCTATTTCTCTCATTCTCTCTCTCTCACCTTTCTCTCCTTCCTGTCTGTCTCTTTTCTCTCTCACCTCTCCCTTCACCTCTCTCTCTCACCTCTCTCTCTCCCTCTCCCTCTGCCTCTATCTCCCACTCTCTCTCTCTCCCTCTCCCTCTGCCTCTATCTCCCACTCTCTCTCTCCCTCCCTTTCTCTCTCCCTGTCTCTCTCTCTCTCTCTCTCTCTCTCTCAGGTGCTCAGGTGGATCAGTCCGTGTTTGAGGAGCTGATTCGGGAGCGTTTGCCGTCTCTGGCCGAAAGCGTTCCTGATCTTTCTCCTCTGGCGTCTGTGTCTCTGACGTGGTTCCTCACGCTGTTCCTGAGCGTCCTGCCGTTCCGCAGCGCCCTCTGCGTGCTCGACTGCTTCTTCTACCACGGCATCAAAGCCGTGTTCCAGCTGGGGCTCGCCGTGCTGGACGCTAACGCTGCCGAACTCTCCGCCAGCACCGACGACGGACAAGCGCTAATGACCCTCACCAGGTACAGTTACGCCTGAAAGCATAAAACAGAACGATGTTACCTGTAGAGTGTTAACTTATTTCCACTTAGAACAGAACATTTCAGAACACACTTTTGTTTTTGACCATGTATGATGCATTATTTATACAAATTTCATGTTTCATGTCTGTGTGCGTCTGTGTGTGTGTGTGTGTGTGTGTGTCTGTGTCTGTGTCTGTGTGTGTGTCTGTGTGTGTGTCTGTGTGTGTGTGTGTGTGTGTGTGTGTGTGTGTGTGTGTGTAGTTTTCTGGAACAGGTCCGAGACGATGAGGAGCCGTGTGTGTGTGCTGAGGAGGCGGGACCTGCGGGACACACACACATCACTGCGCTGAATAATGATGCGTACGAGGTGAGTGTGTGTGTGTTCAGATCTGAATCTCACAGGATCATAGAAAACACAGTCGCATGCAAAAGTTTGGGCGCCCCAGTCAAATAAAAGTGAAAATAAGTGAACACGTCGTCTACAGAGACACACTCCTGCACATTTTAATACACAGTTACTGCTTATTTGCTGAATTTAACATATTGGAAAAAAAAGAAAACGTATTATAAAATGTGGCCTGTGAAAATGTTACGGCACATTTTATATTTTGTGCATTATTTTTTCATTATGTTTTCCAGTTTGTTATTATAACTCCGCAAATAAACGGAATTTGTGCACAAAACGTTGCAGAAAATTGAGTGCGTTCTCTATAAAGGATGTGTTAACTTGTTTTGTTAACTTTCTAACTTAAAATATGTAGTTTGACCGGGGAGTGTTCAAACTTTCATAGACAGCTGTTTAAATGAAAAAAGCTTACAGAGTAACATCTCTATTTTTCTCTGTATTATTTTCGTTTTATTTTATTGAGTTTTGTCATCCCCAGATTGTATTTTTTAAATTTTTTTTTTTTTTAATTTTTCAATTTTTAATTTTTACTATTTTCACTAGTTTGTTGAAACTGTTGCTCTCGGTGTTTGTATAGAAATTTGGGGACCTGACTGTGAGGCAGCTGGAGAGGATGAGATGCAGACACAGGATCCAAGTGCTGCAGAGTCACGAGGACACCACCAAAGAGAACACAGTGAGACACACTACACACACACACACACACACTATGGCCACTTCATTAAGTATAGTTCTACAATTACAGACTGTAGTCTGTGTCTGATCCACTTGTACCAGGGCAACACACACTAACACACCACCACCACGTCAGTGTCACTGCAGTGCTGAGAATGACCCACCACCCAAATAGTACCTGCTCTGTGAGGGTCCTGACCATTGAAGAACAGGGTGCAGTGAAACAGATGGACTACAGTCTGTAACTGTAGAACTACAAAATGCTCCTAGATGGGAAATTATGCATGTAGCTTTTGTGAAAAAACAGTTTACAGAGTCTGGACAGTTTTGTTGGTTCTGTAGGTCAGTCTTGTTTTTGTTTGATCAACTACAGTCAAAATAAACATTTTAATAAAGTATATTTAGAAGTGAAAACATAAGAAAGCTGGTGACTGTTATTGTGAGTTTGATCGCCCCCTTGTGGCTATCTGTGATTGATGCACCTCTCCTGTGTCTCTGTAGTTAAGGCTGGTCTCGCCTGACGTGTCCCTCTCTCAGGAGGACCTATCCGGTCTCTATGACCTCTTTAAGGTGGGTCTGACCGTCAGATGCGTTCAGTATCTGTGTATCTATCTATGTGGGAGGATTAGTGCGTGAATGAGATCTTTTGCTGAACTTTCTCTTTACATTGCAACGCATGGACTGTGTTTGTGTTTCAGACAGAGCACTTCATCAGTCTGTACTGGGGGGACGGTGTCTGTTCGACCCCCCCGGAGCCGCGGGCCGTGAGCCGTGGTTACACTGAAAGTTATCACGTGGACTGTGCTCAGTTTAAGAGCCTGTACGCGCTCCTGGCTCCGTGGCCTTGCGGCTCTCACACGGACACGGTGGCCCAGAGGACCTTCACCCTGCTGGACCAAAATAGACAGAACCGCATCGGCTTCACACAGTTCGTCCGCTGGCTCGGTGCGTACGCTGCCTCCTTCTCTGACTTCAACTGACTTAAAAATCACCTTTTAATCACCTTATGGCCGTAACACACCAAGAGCACAGCACGAACAGGAATTTTTCACACAAAAACTGTAGATGCCGGACACTACATGTTGTTTTTGGAACTAGCTGTGTTCTAAAGGTTATGCACTATAGAACCGAAACAAACGAATGGGCAGAATGTCTTCAACATTCAGAGACTTCCTTTGTACCTCACAAACTAGGCGAACGGTGAAATTAAGGTTTTGGAAAAGCGAAAAGAGCATTGAGAGTTTCGCCACCTCATTCAGGAGCTGAAACTTCGCAGTTTGAGCTAATTCGGAGGACAGACTGATCTGTCTGAAAAATCCGGGTTGCTGGAACAGAACTAATCTGTCGTTTTTATTATCTCACATGCTAATGCCAGAGACAACGGTGATTGGTTGTGTGAGTTCAAATTGCCAGCAAATGTTGGCAAAAATTGAACAGAGGGTGAAAAAAACAACACATTTTCCAGCATCCTGAAAATCACTGATGTTTTGGTTTGCACGTGTTCGATTAGACATCCAAATAAATAACTTCTGATTATTTGAAATCTATGAAGTCTGACATATTAAATTATTTACTTGTCTGCAACTAAATTAATTTAATCAATCAATCAATCAGTCAACCTTTATTTAAACTCGAAGTACATTGAGCGAGACCCTCTTTTACAGTGTAGCCGAGCCAATACAGAAATCAGGAATTGAGAAGTTGGATAGTAAAAACATTACAAGTGCTAAAAAGTAATAGTAATCGCAGTGCTAAAATTTGATAGAAAAAAAGTAAAGACATCAAATAAAGCATTAAAATTATAATAGTATATTAGCTTAATAAATGACAGATCAGAAAATGATAAAACAAATAAATAATTAATGTAATAAATAGAGAAGTAGAAGATTTAAGGCAATTTGGCAGTAAAAAATAAATATAAAGAATAAAATAAATGAAAAGAATAATAATACATTTTAAATAATAAAACTGAAACAACAGCTAAAACATACCAAAATAATATTAGAAAGAAAAATATAAATAAAATGGAGTAAAACAGCAAAGCTTTACTTTCCTGTAGTGAATTCCAGCCGACTGGTGCATATAGAAAATGTTGGTTTTATTGATTTATTGAAAATATTATTGAAAATGTTGAATTTGAACTTTGAATGGCAGCGAACGTCTGGGAATAAGGCAAGTTTTTTGGTGGGTGGGGCTGGAAGTGTTGATGATTTGTGGTCATCATTTCTTCTCATTCTCTGCAGACACTCTGTACTGTGAAGACTTTAATGAGAAGGTCAGGCTCCTCTATCGTCTGCACATTCCCCCAGGTGAGCTAACACTCCAAAAAGACTCAAACGAACCTCATACTGTACTCCTACTGTACTCTACCTGAATATCAGTATTAACAGCTGTATTAATGTTGGAGTCCTTGTTTGGGCTGCTTTTCTTTTGCGTCATTAACTGCAAATGTTGTTATCAATAGCATGTTTCTTGCATTCAAGGATGCTGCTGCATGCTAACTGGCCACTTTAACAGAAACCCTTCCCTTGTAGCTCCACCTAGTTAGTGAACAGACAGTAGTCTAGAGAATCTGGTGCGTTTTGTCACTTAACATACTGTTTGACTGACCAGCCAGGCTGTTTTGAAAATTAGGCTACAACTGAAACACACCAAAGCACAACAAAGTGGTAAAAACACACAATCAAATCAGAACTGCTTGCAAAAAACGTCTTTCCTATTGGACAAATCAAAATGGAGCAGAAGAGTGCACACACAGGGACATGCAGGGACCAGCCTACACAACTGACAAAATCCTGATAGTTGTGGTCAGCTTACCGTGCAATAGATATCAGACAGTCCAGACAGTCTGTAGGTAGACTATATCTGACTGTGGCTCATCTATGGATGCACAGTGTACGTTAGCCATCCTGTAGCCCTTCAGCAGTGGTCAGTTTCTGACTGAGTCAGATATTTTGGGTGGATGGTCCAATCTAAGCCTTGCAGTGACACTGACATGTGTAAAAACTCCAGCAACACTGCTGTGTCCAGTCCCCTCGTACCACCACATGCCATGTCATTGTCAGTGCCGTAATGAGAATGGACCATCACACAATAATATCTGGACAGCAGCCGTCCTGTGGTCAGTGGTAAAAATATGGATTTCTAATAAAGTGGCCAGTGAGTGGAAGTACAAGGTGGGTGTTTCTAATAAAGTGGCCAGGTAGTGGAAGTACAAGGTGGATGTTTCTAATAAAGTGGCCAGGTAGTGGAAGTACAAGATGGGTGTTTCTAATAAAGTGGCCAGGTAGTGGAAGTACAAGGTGGGTGTTTCTAATAAAGTGGCCAGGTAGTGGAAGTACAAGGTGGAGGTTTCTAATAAAGTGGCCAGGTAGTGGAAGTACAAGGTAGGTGTTTCTAATAAAGTGGCCAGGTAGTGGAAGTACAAGGTGGGTGTTTCTAATAAAGTGGCCAGTGAGTGGAAGTACAAGGTAGGTGTTTCTAATAAAGTGGTCAGTGAGTGGAAGTACAAGGTGGGTGTTTCTAATAAAGTGGCCAGGTAGTGGAAGTACAAGGTGGGTGTTTCTAATAAAGTGGCCAGGTAGTGGAAGTACAAGGTGGGTGTTTCTAATAATTTGGCCAGTTAGTGGAAGTACAAGGTGGGTGTTTCTAATAAAGTGACCAGTGAGTGGAAGTACAAGGTATGCGTTTGTACTGTTGTGGCTAGTGACTGTATATGAATATATTTTTTGTTTTTTTTTAGCTCTGACCGAGAATGAAGATCAGTCTTCTCTGGTGAAGAACCCCATCCTTTCCACCACCAGACCTCTCTACGTGGACCTGCCCAACGGTACCAACCCCACCCCAACACAGCAGAATCAGTTAAAGTGAAACAGTAACCAAAGTGTGATATCACAGACTTGTAACTGTGCTGTACTGAACTGTATCACGCTGCTCAACAGAAAAACACCCTAGAGGAAAGGGCCAGTACTTATCGATACTCTTATTGATACTGCTCTCCATAATTTGGTGCAAAAGCATGCAAAGACATGAGATGAAAAGATCTGAAATGTGAAAAACATGTGGAAAGGCTGTGGTCACCTCGCTACAGTTGAAAATATTAACAACCACAAGCAATACGAAATTAGGTACCCCTTGTTATTATACAGTTGTTGTTATTATTATAATGCCTGAAGCAGTGCAACATACTCATTGGATGGTATTGTGGGCTTTGAACTGTTCTGTCTGTCGCTCAGGGGAGAGGAAGAGCCATGAGGAACAACTGAAGCAGATGCTGAAGGACTTGGCCAAGGAGAAGGACAAAGGCCAGGAGAAACCCCTCCCTCACATGAACCAGGTGAGATCAAATTGGGATGATCTGGTCTGTCAGGATTACTTGATGAAGTATGAATACAATGTTACAGTGGTTTCTTTAAGGAACCTATGAAGAACCCATCAATTCCTTCAGCATAGTCTTCAACACTGCTTTCTTTCAAGATCATGACAAGGTGACCGTGTCCTTTCTCCAACAGCGGGAGTTCGTCCAGTTTTGCAAGACGCTGTGCAACATGTTCCACGGCGACAGTGCTGAGAACGAACTCTTCCAGGCCATCGCTATGGTCACCAGCCTCGTCCTGCAGATCGGGGAGGCCAGGAACAAGGCACGCAGGTCGGGGGCCGAGCCGAAGGAAGGAGAAAGTCCAGATCAGGCAGCCTCCAGCGTGTCTGAAGGAGAAGGTGATTGGACAGCAAGTTTCGAGCAGATCTTGGCCTCGCTGCTCACCGAGCAAGCTCTTGTCAACTTCCTGGAGAGGCCTGTGGATCTGAGTGCAAAGATCGCTGCTGCAAAGGAGAAGCAGTACCACGTGCGGGCCGGCCTGCTGATGATCCAGCACAAGACCAGATGAGACTGACTGGTCTTCTAAGCTTCTGGACTGAGTCGGAGTTGCAGTGCTTTGGGTTTGTAGAGAGGCCAGGGTGTACCATGAAACAGAAGAACCCATGGGGAACTAGCTAGACTGGGAACCTGGTGAAATGTACATCCTTGAAGGACCATCTAGTGCAGTGATTGTCAATCCTGGTCCACCAGGAGGACCCCTGGCCTGCAAATTTAGGTGCTGTCCTGCTCTAACGTGCATGTCTATGGAAGCCCATTCCTGCCACATACATAAAATTTATAATCTACTTACATATAATAATATATAATTCATATTTATAATATAATTATTGACTTACTGTCTTGAAATAATTACTTCTTTTCTCAAAACATTGACTTTATGCTTTGCTTTAAGGACTCATTTTCTGAAAATATTGACCAAATAATTTGGAGGTACTCAGTTTCTCAATTTGGAGGTTATTCAATTTATTTTGGGATAGTAAATCGTTATTACAAGATACTAACTCTTATTTTGAGACACTAAGGCACAATTTGTGGACAACAAGTCATTATTTTGAGACAGTAAGTCAACACATCATTATTTGAAGATAACGTCTCAAAATTTTGACATAATGCTATCGCTTAAAGTCATTTTTTTCCTCATCTACCTGGTGGGAATGAGCTCAGGAAGGGCTAATTAGCTGACCAGCGTTGAAGAGCAGGGGCCTCCAGGACCAGGATTGAGACCCACTGATCTAGTGGACCCCAGTGACCTATTGATACTGGGCCTATATCAACAAGTAATGGCTTTGGGACCATTGAGGGAAGCTGGTCTTTCTTTAAAAGCTCGTAGTATCCAAAGAGAGGACACTTCATTCCCAAGTCCAGCACCGTAGCTGATTGTCCTTCACAGCGCTTGCGTTAATCTACACAGAGTTAAGAGTTTACCTACACACGACGTTCAGTTTAACTCATACTTGTCTTTAAAAACAATGAAGAAAGTGGTTACTTGCTTTGTACCAGGCAGCACAACTCAATGCCCAAACACAGGAACTGAAAACTACCAACGCAGCATTAACAGACATGTGAACAGGGAACTTGTAGAGAGGAGAATTCCCACTCTGTAATATCTTCTGGGTTTCTCAAACACTAGGGGGCGCTCCTAACGAGTCCAAAATGAATGGGTTAAGATGGAGCATTTGAGTAAAATCATGGTTTATAAATGCTGAAACATTTTTAATGTAAAAGAATAAAATCATTTCCTGAACACAGAGCAGCATAAAACATTTTAACACCGCTGTTATATTTTTAAGAGCTTTTAAACTCGAATTATAGGAGTTTAAAACGGCAACTCGTGTACGTTCATGACGTCAGTGAGCGCGAACAGCCAATGAGCTGCTCCACTCACCAACCAATCAGCACTCAGTAGCAGTAATGTTAGCATCCTGCTGCCCAAAACTCGTTTGCTGTAGAATAAAGGAAACATACAGGTGAGTTTTCTTTGCTTTTTTAGTGAAACACATCCTTCTACTTTCTAAAATTAAAGGAAAGTTCTGGGCGAGTGATTAGAAACTATTTTAACGCTCACTCGCATTCATTGAGGACTCGCTCGCCGGCGCCCTCTAGTGTTTCGCAGTCCTGTTTTTGATATAATGGGAGAAATAGGAAGTGGCCAGGCTCCTCATAAACTGGCTCTGATATGAACACCAAGCGATGGTCAGTTTTGTAATACAGCTGTCAGATCTTGCACGTTTTAATAAGTCATACTAAGTGCTGTGAATACATGAATCATGAAAGTAGTGCCTTAACCATCAGCTGCCACACTCCTATGCTAGTGGTGTTCGCTGTATAAATGCTACTCTAGTGTTATTTTATTTTATTATTATTGTTTTTGTTTCTTTACTGTGAAGTTGTTTAACAGACAACCCTCGGCCAAGATGAAGTGACCTTCCGCATCCTCGCCAAGCTCAGTGAAGTATTACGTTGCATTAAAACAATCAGTCCTATGCTGTAGTATACACTCTTAAAACAGATGGTTCTTTAGTAAAGAAAATGGTTCTGTATAGAACCATGAAGACTCAAAGAAACCTTTGCATGATTAAAGGGTTCTTTGCATGGGGAAACGGCTCTTCAGATTGATGGAGAACGCGCTGTATATGATTAAATATAGAACCTTTTTCTATTGTTACAAGCTTGACATCTCAACAATAGAAGAACCCTTTTGGTGCTATGTAGAACCGTTTTCACAAAGGTTGAAAGATGAATGATGCAAAGAACGCTTTAATCATGCAAAGGGTTCTCTGAGTGTTCATGGCTCTTTATATTACCATTTTCTTTACTGAAGAACCCTTGAAGAACCATCTTTAGATCAGGAGTGCACTATTTGGTGATTTACCTGGTGGGTGTGTTTGAGTGAGGACACAACCACACTGTGCTGGACACCAGCCGTCCAAGAGTTGTGCACACTTAAAAAAGATGGTTCTTTAAGGGTTCTTCAGTAAAGAAAATGGTTCTATATAGAACCATGATCACTCAGAGAACCCTCTGCATGATTAAAGGTTTCCTTCCATGGTGAAATTGCTTTTCAGATTAATGGAGAATGTGCAGTAGATGGTTCTATGTAGAACCTTTCTGAAAAAGCTTGACAGCGTAACAGAAGAACCCTTTTGGTGCCATATAGAACCATTTCACGAAGGTTTTCCTTCAATCTGAAGAACACTTTCATGATACAAATAACCCTTAATCATGCAAAGGGTTCTCTGAGTGTTCATGGTTCTTTATATTACCATTTTCTTCGCTAAAGAACCCTTGAAGAACCACCTTTAGATCAGGAGTGCACAACGTACAGCCCAATTTGGTGATTTACCTGCTCAAACACACCTGATTACATTCACATTGATTGCCAGGGTTCCTCAAGGGTTCTTTAGTAAAGTTCATGGTTCTATATAGAACCATGGACACTCAAAGAACGCTTTGGGTTCTTTCTATTATGATTGGAGTTCTTCAGATTATTGGAGAATGTGTAGTAGATGGTTCTACTATTGTGACAATGCCAAGCTTGTAACAATAGAAGAACCCTTTTCAAAAGCATTCTCCATCAATCTGAAGAACCCTTTTATGATGCAAAGAACCATTTAATCATGCAGTCATTCTTTGAGTGTTCATGGTTCTATATAGAACCATTTTTTTTTACTAAAGAACCTTTGAAGAAGCATCTTTTATAAGGGTGTAGACTATGTACTTGTATCTGTAATGATTAGTGGTGGGCGATATGGCAAAAATACAGCATCGCGATACTTTGAGATTTTCTCAATATATAATGTTTAGTTTTTCTGAGGTTTGATGAATTTAAACAGACAGTGGTGCAAAAAAATATCAGAAACTACAAATACACTGATTAACAGGACAAATTATTTTCTCTTTAGACTGTACAATATGCTCAGAAAAGCCACAATATGCTCAGAAAAGCAGTAATTTTACCTAATTTATTACGGTAACGAAAGAGTGTCACATTGCCCACCTCTAGTAATGGTCATCATAAATCTGTGGCTGATAAGGGATCTTTAAGATATAGTTTAGTATCTCATTAACAGAAATCTGCACTTTGACATCTCTGCTCCTCTTTAAAGAACGTGCCTTCAACATTCACCTCTGTTGCGTTTTTCTGAATGTGCATAGCTTTAAAAAATGTTTTCTACTTTTTCTTTTAAGACCAACTGACATTCGGCTTTACTGATCAGACATTGCAAGTGCTTTTAACACAAATGTGTTTGAGCGTATTATGATGTACTTTTTTTTAAATATATTATTTTATATGGGCAGGTTTGATTTCAAAATAAACACCTACAAACTTTACATACACAAATTAATTCTTCTGCAGGATTGTGCAGTGAAGACCCAACACTTCTGTGCTGGGGCAGCGGTCAGCAACTGTCCTCCTGGGGCCGTATTACAGAAAATTAAGTCTGAGATCATGTCTCTTTAAGATCAACCCCAGAGCACCTTAACTTCTGCACTGCTGTGTCTGATCCACTCAGACCAGCGCAACACACACTAACACACCACCACGTCAGTGTTACTGCAGTGCTGAGAATGATCCACCACCCAAATAGTACCTGCTCTGTGAGGGTCCATGGGGGTCCTGACCACTGAAGAACAGGGTAAAAGGGGGCTAACAAAGTATCAGAGAAACAGATGGACTACAGTCTGTAACTGTAGAACTACAAAGTGCACCTATATAGTAAGTGGAGCTGATAAAATGGACAATGAGTGTAGAAACAAGGAGGTGGTCAGAATGTTATGCCTGATCGGTGTATAACAGGACAGCTAGTATCTGACCAGGTAACTTCAGTGCATTCATCCCATCTTTCTGGAAAAGGCAATAAAAACACCAAGACAACCAGAATCCTTTTATAAATTTATTCCAACATCCATGAAAAGAACATTAGTTTTCATCCACATTGACGGTCTGGAGACCTGAGGAGAGAACAGAGTGAGACGGGTTAGATTTTCTACATCTTCAGCATTAAAATACAAACCAGAAGAATCCACTGAAAGTAAAACCGCGCTCTCCAACACCGAACTGCGAGCTCTCAAATGTAACCCAGTCTGGTGCAACTACACCATCAGGACTTGAGGCTGCTGTGTGAACAGCGGCTTCCAAGTAGGGCTGGACGATATTGAGAAAATTCAGTATCTAAATATCAATATTTCAACTGATATATTAGCATTAATACAAGTTAATGACGCCACTATTCCTGCTCCTAAAAGAATCTCACAACCCTGATAGCCTGTTTTGATTGGACTTCTACTTTTGTTTACAAGTAAAATGTCAAACAACTTCTCTAGAAACATTTTTATAGATTTTACAGTCTCTACTTTCAAAATAACCTGAAGCGTCCAGCAAATGAACACAGTGCAGATCAAGTTTATCTACCAATGCGGTTGAAACTAACATTGGTATTGTGTGGCACCAATATTGGTGTGGACTACATCACTACTTCTAACGCACCGTCCCCTTAGTTTAGAACAGAACAGGCTAGAATGAATAATCAAACGCGTGGTGAAAACAGGCATAGCTACTAGTGGGGCACCAGTCGTGAACATGTGACCAAAGACATTAAAAGTCACTCAATAAATGAAGCACATATGCAAAATACAACGATTAGTATAGGTTTTATCATCACTTTGCAGTCGGGACTCTTACATGCACACAAAGCAGCTCAGCAAGCCTGTGTGCCAGAATTACGCACCTCTATAATTCACGTCTCTGGGGGTATTTTAGGCATAAGGACCCGAACAGAAGACAACATTGTATAGAAACAATATTATATAGAAACACTATATAGTCACCCCAGGAGTCAGAATCGACTTGACAGCACTTAACAAAAACAAAACTGAGCAAGGCACTTTAGCCACACAGTGAAACTGCCAAATAAGCACTTAAGTGTAAGTTTAGCTCCATTTTCCACCTTGAGATTAAGCTTTATTCATCACACAAATCAAATCGGCGCTGCTGCCATGGTAACGCTGAATGATGGTGGAAAAAAGCAAATGAATTCCGATCTGTGCATCACATTAAGGTCGCATGGCCACGAATCGGATACATATCCAATCTAGGACCACATATGAAAGTGGCTCAGGTCGGATTTGAAAAGATCAGATTTGTGTCCACACAGCTCCGAAAACATCAGATCTGAGTCACATTAGGGCAAAAAAAATCGGATTTGTGGCACTTCAACCTGGTAATGTGAACGTAGCCTAAATCGCACTAGTCTGAGACTTTTGTCCATTTTTATATGCAACACTAAGTTTATTATTTGTTAGCAACATTTGCCTCCAAATGTGTCTTAGTCGAAAAATAGCTTTACTGCTGATGTTTCACTTAAGACACCTGCCTAACCAGGTAGCAACACCTGTTTAAGTCGGTTAAAGTAACGTATTGTGTCAAAGTTGGCACAGAAACTCACCTTTGTATGTGGTGACGGGAACGTATGTGACGAGGGTGTACAGTTTGTTGGGGGAATCTTCGTCTTCATTGCGTTTCCTGGAGAGACGCACACGCATGCGGTACGGGACGTTCCTGCGAGGACACAAATCCATGAGCAATGGTTTACAACGTGAGCCCTGCACTCGAACGATCAAACACAACCCAACTCCAAAGAGGCCAGACGAGTCCAGCCTATAGAGCTGAACTCACAAATTGCATCATGATACACATTTGAGCCATCAATGATTTCATCAGTACATTAACACTGAACGACTGGATGTTTCATTTAAATTTGGCTGCTTTTTACCCCAGTTCATTCGCTGAAATCCCCACTGGAGTTCAGGTTGTTGTGAAATGTATCTTTTTTATTTGGCTTAGTTGATTTCATACTGTATCACCTAACCTGCACCAAATTATTCACATGTTCACAGATTTGAATATTACAAGGATCCCAGCGCCCCTACTCGTACATTTGCCTCTTTTAGTGCCAAAAACGACCAACCTCAATCTTTACTCGTCTATCGTTATGTAATATCCGTATACATCACTCAAAGTATATTCTTGATACAAAAATATAAATGTCCAGATGCATCAATCAGAAAACAAAAATTGTCTCCTTATGGGCGACTGATTTAATTATGAATCAATCTGAATTAAAAAAAAAAAAGTGCTGATTTCTGGCCCCACATCCAGCGGTCAATGCGTCAAAATCAAATGCATCGATTCGCTGGTCTGCCATTATTAAAAGCAGCTCATGCTGCAATATCTGCAACGCGCAACTGTTACAACCAATAATATAGACACAAACACAGCTCTGATGTGCTGTTAGAAAAAGGGAAAAGCATGCACTGATGTTGGATTCCTTCATTTGGTGCAAACCATCATAAAAATGTGTTCCCACCAGCAGAGGACTAAACTAAAATTCACTTGAAAGTGGACAGAGTCCCACAATTGTTGGTGAACCACAAAATCAGTTGTCTGGTCTGCACTCAAGTACAGGTAGGAGTGTTCACACCTGTCAAAATGAACCGAAATAAAGAGGATTTAACTGGTCCACGACGAAAAGTACGGCGAAAGCACCTTCGACTTGGCTCTAAAGTGGTGTGACTGCCCCATCCTGAACATAGTGACCAGCATGACGGGAAACATTTAAGAGAAAATTTGTGTACTCTTTTTGATGCTGCTTATGCGGCACCACTCATACTGGAGCATCTTGTCTGTTCAAACCCACTAAACTCTATAAAAACAAAATATCCTGATATTTCTGCCACTGTGTCCACCTCTACTCAAACCCTATCAGGAATGTTTAACTGAGATTATTACCTGACTCCTTTGGCCCACACTGCCTTGTTCAGACGTGTATCGATGCGGACGTCAGGGGTGCCCATCTCCTTCACGGCAAACTTGCGGATTTCTTTAATGGCGCGAGGTGCTCTCTTCTTGAAAGAGCTGCGATGGAGGAAAGAGCAAGAGCTGTTTTAGGACCCCTGAGGCGCACTCATGATCTTAGTTAACCCCGAAAGCACAAGCGGACTCAACCTGAACGAACCAGCCCAAAAGGGAAGACGTGCTGTTAGTTACTTACATGCCATGGATGCGTTTGTGGATGTTGATGGTGTACTCCCTGGTCACCACCTCGTTGATGGCAGAGCGCCCCTTCTTTTTCTCTCCTCCTTTCTTAAGTGGTGCCATCTGGAAAGACACAGCATTTAGAAAAATTTAGTTTGGTACACTTATTTCTAAGTTAACTTGCACAAAACATATTTAAAGTGGGCCAGTAGCTACAACCAAACCTCAAGTGCCCCAAATACTGAAGGATTAGTTCCCCTAAAAAAGATGCACCAGTTTCCCCCGTTATCCTAAAAGTAGTCAACTGGCCGACATGCTTGTCTTTTTGCAGCAGAGCTATGTGACTGATATAAAGCAAGACATCCATAGGTGACAGAACCCCTTTACTTGTTGGCTACATTAGCCTCGAAGCTCTAAGGCAAAACTAAAGAAGCTGACTTGGCAGAGTAACTTACATTGAGTTAAGCTGGGGGGGGAAAGGGGCAAAGTAGATTTTCGGTGAACTACCCCTTTAAGAATGGCAGTCTTCCAACCACTACACAGCACTCAACCCAGCATAGCCCAGTCAACCTTAAATTCACTCCTTCAAACGAGGCTGAAGTTGGCTTTTTATTCGATTTTTCCCGTTCCACCTTAAACTGCAGCAGTCAGTTTCAATGTACTGCCGCACCACTTAAGGTGGAACGGGGAGATTCGAATAAGTAACTGATTTGAGCTTCGGCTCCTTCAACAGCAAAGCTACTACAGCCCTGTTAAACCCAGTAACCTTCATTCATTTAACAAAATTAACTTCTAAAACCTGTTTTAGTCGCTCAGCTCTACTCATTTGTAAATATTACCATACCGCAGCGTTTTAACGCCATCAGCCAACAGCTAACAGGCTACACCGCTAGCCTTCACTTTTATCAGCCAAAACACATCATTATACCATACAAAAGCAGCCCAAACGCGACTACAGTGGTACTTTAATGTTGTTGAAACACATATCGATATAAAATAATGCTATTTTTCATTAAAAACAGGTCGGATGGTGGTGGATTAGTGAGAGACTTTGCCTCCGCGATACTCACTGTGCAGGACGAGCGTCGGAAAGGAAGGTGCACCGCACTCTGGGTAATACAAACACGACATCCGGGTCGTTACACTGTGGAGACGCTGATTTATTTCTCTTTATCAGCTCACAAACTCACACTTTCATATCCAGCCCATCTAAACACAGACCCCATCAATAACACCCCTCTGAACTCAGTATGTGGACAAGCATTCAATATTTTTAATACTATTTTGTGTCTGAGCGCTGAATTCGAGCGGAGGCGGCTCGGACTACAACTCCCATGGTGCACCGCGCCACCTCCTGTTTAACCGTCGCCTCGGTTTCGAAGTGGAGAAAAGAGACGGAGTTTTTCGCCTTTTTGTGGAGCTTTCTTTGTATTTTTGTCCGTTTGGTAATGTTCGTTTTTTCAGAGATGATGTACTGAAGGCACCGCCGGAGGTGAAGCTGTCCGCTTTCAATGAAACCCGAGCCTGAGGTAGATAACGCTGGTTAGCTTAGCATTCCTCGCAGCTTTGGCCACATATTTAGTCGTAAATTTAGTACAAGTTGAGCATAATTTTAGCATTTTCATATTTCATGTGCTCATTAATATGAATGTGTCTTTTAAAAACGGCCACATGGCTGTCACGAAGCTGAGGCTGGCTTTTTATTCGAATTTTCCGTTCCACCTTAAATGGTGCTGGAGTTGGCTAGGGTTAGCTGTTAGGTAGCTACATTCTCAATGCGACTGCTGCAGCATTTAAGGTGGACCGGGTAATTCAGGGGTGTCAAACTCAACCACTAAAAGGGCCACCTTTGGAAAAATCTTCTCAAATCCGTGGGCCAGACAAAAAAAGTTTTAATTTAACGTAATTTATAATTAATGTTGAGCTATAACCCGAGCTGGCCATTGTTTATTCATAATATGCAAAAACGTCAACAGTAAAATACAGACACATGTAGTAGACCTCGAAACATTACATGAACACTTGAAATGTTCAAAATTCAAACGTCCCCAGGTGCATTTAAACCTACCTGTCTGCTTGAACACCTGGCATCCTTTCTTTGCTGCTAGTTCATTAAGACTTGGGCTCAATTTCAGAGCTGCTGAGCTGATGTTAAGTGTTTATGTTGGTTAAACTGCAGCTGAAATGCAGTTTGGTGATATGATTGGTGTGGAATTGTGTAGAATTGAGGTGTAATTATTGTCCCATAGACGGTTGTTGGGGTAGGAGAGTCGGAGCACATTATGTTGCAGTGCATGCTGGGGACTGTAGTGCAGCACATTATGAAACAGGCTTATATTTATAGAAAACTGAAATGCTTTTGTGGGCTGGATAGGATTGTGTGGCTGGCCTTTTGTTTGATACATGGGGAGTAATTCTACTAAGCCTCATTTGTTTATTTTTGTCTAAAAGAAGAACATCTCTGAATTCGAAGTAATGAGTTTTGGTTGGTCACTGATAAACTGTAGTGTAGTAAAAATTGTATTCTTTTCATTATTGTGTAATATAATTTAATTGATCCAGAACTAACATAATGTTAACATATATTCAACTGCTGTACTCACTCTGTAATACAAATACAACTACATTTACACCGATCAGGCATAACATTATGCTTGTTTCTACACTCATTGTCCATTTTATCAGCTCCACTTACTATATAGGTGCACTTTGTAGTTCTACAGTTACAGACTGTAGTCCATCTGTTTCTCTGCATACTTTGTTAGCCCCCTTTAACCCTGTTCTTCAGTGGGTCACGACCCCTCATGGACCCTCACAGAGCAGGTACTATTTGGGTGGTGGATCATTCTCAGCACTGCAGTAACACTGACGTGGTGGTGGTGTGTTAGTGTGTGTTGTGCTGGTCTGAGTGGATCAGATACAGCAGTGCTGCTGGAGTTTTTAAACACTGTGTCCACTCACTGTCCACTCTATTAGACACTCCTACCTTGTCAGTCCACCCTGTAGATGTAAAGTCAGAGACAATAGCTCATCTGCTGCTGCACAGTTTGTGTTGGTCATCCTCTAGTCCTTCATCAGTGGTCACAGGACGCTGTTTTCTACAGTCTGTAACTGTAGAACTACAAAGTGCACCTATATAGTAAGTGGAGCTGATAAAATGGACAATGAGCGTAGAAACAAGGAGGTGGTCATAATGTTATGCCTGATCGATGTATGTAATAACGTCTGTAGAAGTAATAGTAGCTCCTTAAAAACCAACACTGAGAAAAAAGTCTCAAGGGCAAGTCTCCAGTTCTGCAGGAGAACTTCTTAATACAGCGTACAAGTCACCACATAAGACTTTATTTTTGTCAGTCCCCTGCAGATGCTTGGTAGGTTCTCCCTTTGTCTCTTTTCTTGCATTCAGGTAAATATCTCTTAAATTTACCCTGTCATTACACACTTTTCTCACTACAACCCCAACCTTCACCTCAATCTAACATCTAAACCGAACCGTAACCCTGTTCACAATCAACTGATTTATCCCAGATAGTTTGTTAATAGTATGAGCATTTGTAGATTAGCTGTAGGGGACCAACACAGCACAGAGAGAATAGGATCGCTGCCATGCTGTTAGATCTCTTTACTGTCTTTTTTTGTTTTAACAGTGATAAACAGCCAGAGAGAAATCATGACGCTGGCACCCAAAGAGCTGTCCAACCTGCTGGGCATCATCTCGGAGGATGCCTGCGGAAACACCTTCGAGAGCCTCTCCAACGCCTTCCATCACTGTTTCGGTAAGGCTGAGCACTTCCGGGTCGGCTCTGTGCTGGTGATGCTGCTCCAGCAGCCGGATCTGCTGCCGAGCTCGCCTCAGCGCCTCACGGCTCTTTACCTGCTCTGGGAGATGTACCGCACTGAGCCGCTGGCCGCCAACCCCTTCGCCGCCGTTTTCGCCCACCTCCTCAACCCTTCGGCCTCGGGGGAGGAGCAGGAGAAACCTCTGTCAGGTATGAGCGAAACACTACGTTGATTTAATTGATATTAGGCTTGACCAATGTGATATTTTTGCTGTTGGTACTGATGCTGATACTGTTTTTTAATCATGATAGCCAATAACATCAGCCGATATTTTACATTAATATACTGAATTTTAATTTTGGACTCCAGTAGTTAGTTAATCAGTGCTTTACTGACTGATAATAGTCAGTTCTCAGTTGTTACACTTCTTATATTCAAATAAACAACAGAAACTCACAGCACTGTAAGTTATTTACGTTGTAATGTTACATTTTCCAGGTTTTCTACCACCCATCACTCACCCGGAGAAGTTTTTCCTCTCTCAGCTGATGCTCGCCCCTCCTCGGGAGTTGTTTAAAAAGACACCACGGCAAGTCTCCTGCATGGACGTGGGCTCAGCACCACAGGCCATCGACATCAGTGGGCTGCAGCTGGCCCTTGCAGGTGAGAGAGAGAGAGAGAGAGAGATTAGCATGGTCATTAGAATGCATCAGAAGATTCAGCTCCATAAATTTCAGAACACTAGAATCCATTGTAATAGTATTAAACAAGCACTTTTTTTTTGGCCGAAATAAATTGATCTGTTTAATTTCACATGTAAACATTTAATTTTTTAAATATAGGCAATAAAAAACATGTATTTTTTGTTGTCTGTAGTTCACTGCTGCATAAATAGTTCCTCTAGTCACATCTGTGCATTCGGTGGATTTTTCAATTCGTTCAATTAAATCAGTAATCAAATCAAATTGTGACGACATTTGAGATTTCATAAGGAGTCTTAATCAAACTGAATCGTTGTAAGTTCTCAGAGTTACGTATGAGCTTAAACATTTGGTCCCACTTGGTCCTTTTTTCTGTTCAGTTTAGGTTTTTAGGCACTTGTGCAACGGATGGAGGTCTATTTTTTCAGCCTTTAAGCAGTAAAAGAAGTTGTTGCTATTTTGATAAAAGATATTGGAATTTTTACGTGTGCATGTTTGTGTGTTGTGTGTTTTAGAGCGCCAGTCGGAGCTGCCCACTCAGAGTAAAGCCAGTTTTCCCAGCCTTCTCAGCGACCCTGACCCAGACTCCTCCAACTCAGGCTTTGACAGCTCTGTGGCCAATCAGATCATAGAGTCAATGGTAACTGGACCACGTCCTCCACTGGAGAGTAAGTGACCCAGGAGCTTTTACAGTCAGATCTGAGTTAGCTGTCTTTGACTTTTATTTTCATTTTTTGCTGAATTGGCTGAGTTGTGACATCAACACTGTTGTCAACATGGCAAAGGATAGATGCGAAAAAGCAGTCAAATAAAGTGTGCAAATAAAATTTCTGATAGTAATCATAAAGACAATTTAAACATGTAAAGGTAACCCAAAATTCATTTACGCTTTGTTTGCGTTCAGAAACGACAGTGAAATAGTCTAAAACTGATAGATGCCAGCTGGCTAACAGACTATGACACCCATTTCACAACCTCAGAGTTTTGTTTATCTCACACACAAACCACACAAACACACATCAGGTGAACGAGTTCCTCCTCAGAAAAAATCCCCATCCCGAAGCACTTAAAAGTAGCGTTGACTTACCAGTTAGTGTGCTGCGAACTGCATTCCTGAATTAACTGTGTCATGTTGTTCAGTATTTCTGATAAACTTGCTAAGGTGTTTTCTGACTCTATATGATATACTGTTATCCATAAACTTAAACTAAAGTATGTTGTGTAGCTAAAACCGATGCACTCAGACCAGCACAACACACACTAACACACCACCACCACATCAGTGTTACTGCAGTGCTGAGAATGATCCACCACCCAAACAGTACCTGCTCTGTGAGGGTCCATGGGGGTCCTGACCACTGAAGAACAGGGTAAAAGGGGGCTAACAAAGTATCAGAGAAACAGATGGACTACAGTCTGTAACTGTAGAACTACAAAGTGCACCTATATAGTAAGTGGAGCTGATAAAATGGACAATGAGCGTAGAAACAAGGAGGTGGTCATAATGTTATGCCTGATCGATGTATGTAAATGCACTGATTTTTGGGACATCACAAAACCTATGAATTCAAAGCAGGCTGGGCTTTTGAAACTTAGTTTCCATGTATGGACTGTATGGTCTTGAGGACGAACAGCACATTTTGAAATTTGAACAATGTTTTTATATAAACCTTTATATAAATGAGGAACATGTGTTTTA